AGAGAGAGAGAGAGAGAGAGAGAGAGAGAGAGAGAAAGAGAGAGAGAAATTCAGATTTTTTTTTCAGAAATTCAGGTCTTCAAGTTTCCCTGCAAAAGCATCTGTATTTATAATTTTTTTCCACATAAAACTGATGGGCAGTCAGCTCTCAGGGTCACTTATATTGGTCTTGTTTTCTTTTAATGAAATGTTTCTAAACATAAGCTACTGACTTTAGCACCAAACTCCAAGTTATATAAACAAAAAGAGGAAGCTTCTTCGGATTTACCTTTTCTTCTGAGACGCTTTCTTAGCAGAGCCAGTAGGGTCCAGCCCACGGCCAGACCTGTTGTAGAAGCCACTGCTCCACCCAAGTAAGTCAGAGCTTCCTGGATTGTCAGTGGACCTGCTGCAAAATAAATTCACATGCAAGGCATGAGCATAGTGTGCAAAGACCAGTCATTCTCCTGGAGGCACTACAAGAACCCTGAGATTGGGGTGCAAGTAAGGTCATCAAAGGCCCTGTCAAAGCCAATAACCTGGCAGGAAAGATCTGGAAGGCAAAAATTCACTGCATCAGAATAGGAAGCTGGGTCTGTTTGCATTCCCAAAGCTTAAACATAAAATGTGATTTCTGAAGTGGTCAAGGTAAAGATCCCCCGAAAGGAATTCATTTGTAGTTATAAGGGGTCTGTGCACAGAAGTTTGGGTAAATAAAACAAATGACAGGCAGCTTCTCTTGTCAATCAAAGATCTGAGAACGTAACACAAAATAGTTCTAACAACTGCTAAGGTGAACATGGGGGAGAAATATGGGGCTGAAATAAAGCTTGCAAACAGATGAGGCATAATAAGCAAGATCTGTGGTATTTTTAGAGGTAGCTGGTAAAGGTCTTCTGAGATAACAAATCAGGATTCTGCGTGAAACTCCCAGGTTACCACATTTTGAAATTCAAGATGAAACCAGAGATTATAAAGAAGTGAGAGGATTCATTTCACAAATCTAAACAGTGAAAATGACTGGAAAGCATCCATACAGAGTCATTGAGTTTCATTCCTTCTTTTCTGTGTAAAGCAAGAAGATTCTGTCCGACTCATTGTGAAACAAGCAAGGGGAAACCCAAATGATGGAAAGAAAAACCACAATGAGAAATAGACAGAAAAGAAGCACTGATTTTGTCCTAAGCCATATGAAAAATTTACCTTGGCAGGTTGGCAAGGCAGCTGACCAGTGCCCATTTTCTTGGCATGCTACATTTGCAGTGCCATTCAGTAACTGTCCCTCTGGACACTGGAAGGTGCAGGTTGATCCATAGCTAAAATTTCCCCAGGGATTAGAACAGTTCATCACTATCGGTGTGTCAATGTGCAGTTCTGAGCACTTGATGGCTGCAGGGGAGAAAAGAAGAACTCATGAGAAACAAGTGTACAGAAGGAAGGCAAATGGGATGGTGTTTCCTTTGTAACTTGGCTGGCATTGTCAATAGGTGGAATACACTACGGAAGGTCAGACAGGAGATCAGCCTCTCCCAGGAGTCACAGTAGCTCTCCAAAGCACACACACCAAAGTCGCCACTGAGAGACTACTAACCAAAAAGCAAGGATAGCATATATTAGTTAATAAATCCAATAAATGCCTGGTAATGCATTGATCTGACCTCCAAAACTTTACAAAAGTTTTGCCTCTTAAAAATACTATTGACCCAGGTTTGAATCCCATCACCCAGATCACAGCTAACAACTGTCTATAACTCCAGTCCCAGTTTAAATATATCTACATATGCCCTTTCATTGTTCTTTATTCCTTCATCATCTTTGAGCTTCTTTCACTGGGAGCTGAGTATACTCAGTATTCTCTTTAGAATAGGCTGTTAATGAAAAGTCCTCTACATAAAGTAAAAACCATCTGTCCATGCCATTCTGCTGCTAAGGGGTCATTTCACTGGTGGGAACTCTTAGGTTTATAAGTACATTTCCCAGGGGGCTGGAGAGATGGCTCAGTAGTTTAAGAACACTGGTTGTTCTTGCAGAAGACCCACGTTTGAATCCCAGCACCCACATGGAATCTAACAACTTTCCATAACTCCAGTCCCAGGGGATATGACAGCCTCTTCTGACCTCCAAGGACATTGCATGACATGGGTGCACTTACCTACATGCAGGAAATACACACATACACATAAAATAAAAATAATAAAATATTTTTTAAAATACTATTGTTTTAATTGTTATTGTTGATCTGTTGGTGACTAAATGGCATGTCAGCATGTGATTATCAAAATGCTTAAGTGTTCAGCACAGCTGGACAGTAGAACTTTAAAAGAAGAGATCATGATCCTTTTGAAACTATTTTTCATGGAGCTTCAGAAATTCTGTTATGAATAGGAAATTAAACTTAATTCAAATAAATGTTATTGAGCAGTATTGACACTTGTAAAGCTCAGTACTGTGCTTTGTGGGGGATATAAAGATGAAAGAGACTCAAGGCTCCATGCTTCATGAAGAGGGTGGTAACTTCAGGAAATGTCCTTCAAGGCTAATTACTTAGCTTCTAATTATTATGAAATTATTGAATGTTTATAATGCCACCTAATTAGTAGCATTGTAATTTTTACTTCACAGTTCATAGAACTGGCATCACATGTACATGCAGACATCTGTAAGCTTCTTCCTTTAGGTTTCTGAGTATCAGGGCATTTGGCTGTGGAGTGAGGTAGGGCAGAGGTAAAGGGACTGCTTTTTATTGTTACTTCTGCTTAGGGTTGCTGTGAGTTTTATGGAGGAGTGGGTGTTTGTTGTGGTTGTTGGGGTTGGGCAGGATTTCAGCAAGCTTATACTCAAGCGCCCTAGGATGACAGTGTCAGAACTCTTCAGTTCAAGTTACCTCTGCAGGCTGGAGTTACTGCTGTCCATTGTCCTGAAGGCCTGCATTGGAGCGCATTGGCTCCTACGAGTGTGAATCCAGTCTTACACCCAAAGTAGCAAGCCGTATTCAAACCAAAGTTTCCCAGGTGGTGTCTACAGGACATAGTTCCCTGCTCAGGAGTAGCGAGAGTGGGACATCGCAACTCTGCCGTAGGAATTGATGTCACACCTGTCATGAGAAAATGTTTCCATTTATTCTTCAGTGTGTTCTGAGTTCAAAGGTCCATATTTGTGTTCAGGCTGCTACAGAAAACCTGTCTCCCACAGTGAAGGGCATATAGAAATTTATATAAAGAGGTTATGAAAAATTGTTGATTTCATGTATAGAAAACTTGAGAAAACTTATTTAGGGACTGGGGAGATGGCTCAGTGGGTAAGAGTGCTTGCTGTGAAGGCAAGAGAATCTGAATTCAATATCTAGTATCCCTATACAATAAAGACATGACTGTGCATCTCTACAACCTCAGCATTGTGTGACAGAGCCAAGTATGCTGGCCATTCCATCTAGCTAAAAAGGTGAGCTTCAGGTTCAGTGAAAGACCCTATCTCAAAAAAAATATGGAAGAAGACTCCTGACATCCCCGCCCCCGGCCTCTGCATGTACACACGTTGGCTTGCACACCCACACATACATACATGTGCTCATGCAGCACACCATCTAACCTGTAAATGAATATTTTTTTCAAAAGAAAATTATTTTTAAATGTCCATGAAAAATATTGCCCTTGGGGACAGTTGACTTATGGAGTCAACATTACTAATAGTTCTTAAAAAGAAGGGGCAGATGAGTTGATACAGAGATTTAGCAGCTCAGTAGAAGGACAAATACACACAGGACAGTTGCTGGCTGCCCCATACTTTGTCAGGAGGAGATACTATTCCCTGACCCAAGGTCAACATGAAAGACAGAATGGGAATACTGTCATTGGCTCAGTCATTAACTTGCCACATGACAGGAAAAGGATGCTTGATCTCTCTCCATCTTGATTCCTTGTTTCAAACACCTGGGTTCATAACCACCATCCTGTATTCTCAGCTATGAAGCAATAAACACCATTCAGTTTGCTCAATAAAGGTCTATGAGAGACGTGGCCTAAAAGACACGAATGAGAACTTCTTGTATAAGAATTAATATACGTTTTATTCACAAGCAAAAAAATTCTATCACTCTTTGGACACTTTTTAAAACCTATAACTGTGTCTGCTATGCCCCAACAATGGTGTGATATGTAGCTGTCATATATAAGAGCTATGTAAATGTTATTGTGGAAAAAAAATCCAAAAGTACAACTTTCCTGGAGAATATATGTTTATTACCTTCACAGATTGGTGGAGGCGCTGACCATCTTCCAGAAGCTATGCACTCCACGCTTCTTAATCCCTCTAGCTTAAAGTTCTTGTTACAGGAGAAGTTACAGGTGGAGCCAACATTGAATTCTCCATGGTCATGAGTGCAATCCATGCTGCCTTGCTCTGGAGCAAAGATTTCTGAGCACTTGATGGCTGGAGTATCAAATGAGAATGGCAGAATGTCCAAGTTTATTCAGGTCTGTGTTTCATCAAGTTCATTCAGTCAATATTTGATAAATAGCTATAGGCTGCCTCCCATGTTTTGCTAGGCAGTGGGCATTCCACAATGTATAAAACAGATTGTTGACTGCAGTGGGAGGGAGGGTGGGCTTGCAGAAAACAGTAAGGAAAGGTCACAAAGATAAGGAAGTCAAGCAACAGTTTCCAGGGCTGGAGAGATGGCTAAGTGGCCGAAGTGTTTGCTCTACCATCGTGAAGAGCTGAGTTTGGACTCCCAACACCGATATAAAAAGTGTGTGGGTGGCGCATTGCTGTAACCTCAGTGCTAGGGGTCAGACAGGTAGACCAAGGGGTCTCACTTTCCAGCCAATCCAGATGAAACGGTGAGTTTCAGTGAGAGGTCTTGTCTCAAAAAATAACTTGGAGAGAATGATAGAAGAAGACAGCTGAATTGACCTACACACACACGGGGGGGGGGTAAGGAGAGAGCAAGAGAGAGGAGAGAGACAGAAAGAGAGAGAGAGAGGCAAAAGCAACACACAGGCATCACAGGCATACATCACACATGGGGGAGGAAAAAGAGGGGAGAAAGGGGGGGAGAGAGAGAAAGAGAGAAAGAAAGACACAGAAAACTCAGTTTCCTCCTCTTCATACTCTGCTTCAGAAAACTGGAGCTTCCTATCTTCTCCAGGTGGGCACAGTCTGAGACTTTATTTCTGTCCTTCCTACACCCCCTAGACACCCTGTCATCTCCTCAGATTAAACACATCTAAAACTGCACTGACCCCTTTCTATCTCAAATCATCTCCTCTATTTGGACTCCCAAACTGATTATTTTTTCAATGTCACAGTTCCACAGCAATGGAAAATTCAAGCTTTCAAGGAGGTTAGCTAAGCTCTAAGGAGTTCCCCAGCTGACCTGGTATCTTTTGCCTCTGATTCTTGGCTCACACTTCCATGAGTTTCTTTCCATTTCTGCTGAATAAATCCCAGCCATTCTCCAGGCTCCAAACCCAGCACAGCCTCTCTGATGCTACACCCAGTCACTTCTGAACAGCTTTCTCTGAACACACCCACTTTAGTTGGAACTCATATGCTGTCATGTCATACACTGCATCACCCTTTCTCTGCTGGATGAAAGCTTCTAAAATCCCCAACCCATTCATCATTTCTAGCTTAATTCCCACTTCAGGATCTCAAGAGGACATTTAATAAGCACAGGCCACAGGACTGAAAAGATGAATTTCTGATTTATTCATCACAATTTCCCATTAAGTTGTTTTGATAAATTATTGCAGTTACGGACTTCTCTTGGATTTCTGTATTTTCTTCATTAAATTATCTGACACATGACTGTTATTTATCAACAGACAGCTTTTTATAAACAGAATGGCTATTGTTCTTTAAACCTAATGCCATTCTGAAGGTAATCCCTTGATCAGGTTCTTTTGCTTAGTTATTCTGATTTCTAAGAGCTTCTTCAACTCCTGTGTGCTGCCTCATGGAAAAAGTGATATGCTCAGCCTTTACATATTGGCCCAGGTGTTTTGAAGTGACAGGCCTTTCACTGGAGTTTTGTGGGTGCTTGTAGGAGTCCATCAAAACAGGTGAAAAAGTGAAGAAGCAACGGGAAGTAAACCAGCCCAGAGTTTAGAGGGCTCCAGTTCACCACATTTCAGACTGTGGACTTGGATAAGCAGACAAGGCAAAAGGGTAGGGCTGGGGTAGAATGTAAAACCAAGCTTCTTTCTCCCAAGAAACTGAGGCAGAACATTACAAACTGAGTTCAGTGACCAGACTTGGCCTCCAGAGGGATAGTGAGAAAGGACAATGTTAATGAGCAGTGGTTAGGAAAGTGGCACAGGTGGGGACAGGAGGGACACAGAAGCTGGACATAAACAATCTAGCTCACAGATGGCATCATGAAAGGTAGAAGAGCCACAGTCACTGCCAGGTTTGTGAAGAAGCTTTCAGGACCTAGGGAGGCAAAGGCAGGAAGAGACAGGAAAATATAGACAGAACTCAAGTCCCAAGGGGGTCAAGGAACAGGTATTCTTATTAAAGTGAAAATACTTGTGGAACTGCACCCCCCACAATAAAACATTTCACTGCACTCTGAAAAGATAAGCTAAGAGTTCCATCTGCTGGTGACCTCAAGCCCCTGTGGTCTATTCTAAGGTTCTGTAAGATACTTCATGGAAACCAGAGTATCTGGGCAGTGTCAAGGGTCAAATTTTCAAAGGGACCATTTCCCTAAGTATACACTGTAAACACAGAGAGTGAAGAGACAAGAACCAACTTTTTTTTTTGGGGGGGGGTTCTTTTGAGGCAGAATTTCCCTGTAGCCTCAGCTGGCCTGCAACTTGCTATGTAGACCAGGCTACCCTAGAACTCACAGAGATCTGTCTGCCTCTGCCTCCTGAGTGCTGGGACTAAAGGCATATGGTGCCACACCCAGCTAAGATCTATAAAGCCTCAAAAATCGGGATAGATAAGATTGGCAATACAGAGAACCACAGTTGGCTAAAGGCGCTATCCATGGTTGGGACTGGTCCTAGGTACTGGGTGGGGGTTGGGCTCACAGGTAGGGAGGCAATTACTTCTTCGTGCAGAGAAAAGAAACCTGGAAAGGAGTGAAGGGAAAGGGCTTGGAGATGACAGTTTAGTAACCACTTTGGCTACACATATGATTTAAAACGTTAATAGTATTTATACAAGAAATTTTGATTATTTACCCTTAAAATGCAATACTGGAAAATATGGCTCATGATACATGTTGATGTGACAAGTGAAAGAGAGTGAAAATAAGGGAATGAGCAAAGAACTACATGCAAGGCATGTGCTAGTTCCCCCACCCCACCACCCCCACGGTCTAGGCTCCTCCTGGCTTGCAGTATATCTTTTTGACAGCAGGTGGTAGTATTTCATGTCCTTTAATTTAGAGGATTCTTAGAACTGGTAAAATTTAGAGGAGTCTTAGACTGGTAAAAGACCTCAGAGGTGATTTTGTCCACTTTTCTCCTTTTGGAATTGAAAGAGCTGAAGCCTCCAGTGTGTGATGTGACTTTCTGAATGCCACATCATGGAAGAAAGAGCTGCAGTGCTCACTGCACAAAGGACTGAAAAATAATATTTTAACTGTTTTTTATACTACTCTAATGGATTCCTAAAGGCATAATCTCTCATCTGATCTAAGGTTTATTTCAGCAGTTAGGGCTGTAACCTGTGTGGGGACACAGGACTTGGAAGCCCTGACCGGGTGGCAATGTGGCACCCTGTTGTCATTCTTCTTTCCATTTTACTTGCTTTGTGACTTTTGACAGCTACTTTTTCTCTCAGTGCTCCAGTTTATTCATTTTTAAGATGGAGATCACAATAACTTATTTATGGGTGTTTGTGTACACAGAATAGGATGATGCATATGAAATGGCTAGAACCACACAAGCAACAATTACTGGCCATTATCACTGGTCTTGTTGTTGCTAACTCACTAGATAGAACAGATTGGAGCAACGAAGCCCTTGGAAACTCAAAAGGAGATGTAAATTAGTTACTGCACGTCTATGATACGCTAGATACAGTGCCCTCCAGGTACTTTCAGGAAGCTTAAAGACATAAGATCCACCCTGTTTTTGAGGATTCCACCAATTAGCTTTCAGAAGACCCACGCTTGAGTGAATGTTAACAGCAAACAATACGCTTCAATCCAACGTATGCTTGTCACACACTTATTTGATATTGTCTAGTTACTATAGAAGATATAGATGAAGGAGGGGCTGGAGAGATGGCTCGGTGGGTAAAGTACCTGCCAGGGAAGTATGAGGATCTGAGTTCTTGTAAAAGCCAAGCCTGGATCCCATGTAAAAGCCAGGCATTGTTGCACACATTTGTAATCCTAGCACTGAAGGTGTTTAGATAGGCAGATCCCTGGAGCTCACTGGCCAGTCAGCCTAGCCAACTGGTAAGCTCTGGGTTCAGTAGGAGACCATACATCAAAAAGATAAAGTGGTAAGCAGTACTATGTGTTTCCCTATGTCAGCCTCTGGTCTCCATGCATGTGTACACACACACACGCACGTGTGCACACACACACTACACAACATACATGCATATACTATATACAAAAAGGATGGAGCTTTCAGCTAATTAAAAACCCATACAGAAGTGAAGGGAAGGATGAATACATACACAAGCCAGGCTAGAGTTAATCACATCCTTCCTAAATCAGCTTCTAGTCTGAGATTTACTGGGATTCATGAAGGCAGGTGTAGGAATGGATGAATGAAGATCATGGCAGGAAAAGAGAAAAAGACTGTAAGAAAATAAACCCTTCAGTCCATTATTTACTAATGATGATGACCTTGGGCAAGTTAGCCTTTCTGAGCCTGTTTGTCCCTCATCTGTTACATGGCAGTGATACTTACATCTTATTATTTTAGAAATGTGCTGTGATTCCATGAAAGCATTTGATAAAACTTAAATGTTTAACTCAAGTTTTGTTGTAAAGTAGCTCAGAAAGAAAATTCTTGGTCTAGATTCTTATACCTTATGGGGAGACTGTTGTTTAAGTTCAGGGACACTTTCATCTGAGTCTCTGATGAGTCTCCAATCTATGGTGGTGTCTCAGAAGCCACAAGAAAGGACAAACCCCCATGCTTACCTTCACATGTGGGCAGGGTGCCTGTCCAATGTCCAGATGGAGAACAATCCAATCTTTCAGGTCCAGATAAATAAAATCCCTCATCACAGATGAACTGGCACGTGGATTTGTAACTAGAACCCCCAAGAGGCTGGATACAGGTCATGGTTCCATTCTGAGGGCTGAGCAGAGGTGTGCAGGTGATGGCTTCCGTGGGCGAGGAAGGTCAGAGGAGAAGAGGAGAGATCATGTGAGAACTCAGAACTCAGCATCTCAAAATCCTTGTCTTCCTCCTGCCCCCTCCCCCCCAGGTGTCAGTGTGTGTGTGTGCGTGTGTGTGCGCATGTGTGCGTGTGAGTGTGTGTGCATGCGTGTGCGTGTGTATGCATGTGTGTGTGTATGTGTGTGTGGCATTTGGTACTTCGGCTAAAGATGATAATTTTTTGTTTCCATTTCTGGTGCTTTCTCTTTGTTAGAGGCTATTGAGCTGGGAAACAGTTGAAGCTTACTGTTGATTGATATTTTGAAATTTCACACACACAGGACTTCAGAGGCAAGTCTAAGAGGGAGTTGGTGCGATGCTTAGAGAGTGGTAAAGTTCATTTTGGATGCTCCTGGACAGAGGAAGAAACTGTCCACTTGATCTTTTTCAGAAACAGATCTAGTGATGCTACCAGCAAACAATGCCAAGCACTTAGACATAGAAAAGTGGGGGGAAATTTCTTTCTACCTTTCTCCAGCAGGTGGTGGAGAAAACCTGAAGCAGTTTCCCAGCTGGTACTCTGTTGTGACCTTTCTCAATCTCAGCTATTTCATTTTCAACATATGAAAACCTCTAAGTCTTGCCTTAGAGGGTCTTGTAGGTGCCCTTGGGTATATAACAAGTCATGTAAAGATTAAATGTAAAAGGGGATTTAAGAATCATGGACATTAAGCTAGTCTTGGTGACACATACCTTTAATCTCAGCTCTCTAGAAGCAGAAGCAGGTGGATCTCTGTGAGTTCAAAGCAACCCTGGTTTATACAGAAAATTCTAGGCTAGGCAGGGCTATATAATGAGACTCTGTTTTTAAAAATAAAAACATCATGGACCTAAGGTAGGTGCAAATTTCATCAACTGTCTGCAAATGCAATTTCTGCCCTCCCCAGAAGATCTACAGTGGTCAGCCACAAATGACCCTCTAAGGTCAGTTTCCAAAATAAGTTAAATTAGGTCTCACGTTCTTTGAAGTTCTTAGGGAAAGGTTTGGGGTAGTAATCATGTTTTGCGACTTTGGATAAGTCACTTAACCTCTCTGAATCTCAATATTTTGAAATGTGGAAACTAGTGTTACAGAGATACTAAGGTTCTTACTAGGACCAAGAGTAAAAACATTCTCAGTGCAGATGTTGTAGCTGTTAAGATGTTCCTATCCAGCGAATGGAACAATGAAGCCCAGATAAAATATGCTGACATTAAGAAGACCACTGCTTGTCTTGATTGATCAGTGTATGGCTTCAGACCAGAGAAGGTATTATGACTGTCCTCCTGGGGCCACTTTTTAGCTACTGACTGGATAGTATGAGGGTTTGAGTATGATCTATACCAAAAGCCAAATGGAAATGTAGTATTTAATAAGCCTATTGAAAAATACACATATAACTGTGTATAGCTGAAGGCTATAAAACAAAAATCACAGTGCCAGGCAAGAGAAACTTCCCTTCAGTTGTTGCTAAGGGTAGTCCAAGAGACCCCCAAAATAACACAGGCAAAATTACAATAGCCTTTGATTGCCACCCAGAACTTGTAAGTCCGTTCCTTGCAATCTAGTTCCTCTCAATCTAATTAACTTGTCTAAAGACTGAGGTATTGTCTACCACTTAGAAAGTCTTTCTGTAGTCAGTGTGTATGCATGCATGAAAGAGAGAGAGAGAGAGAGAGAGAGAGAGAGAGAGAGAGAGAGAAGCTGGAAAGCAAAGAGGGAAGGGGTGTAGGTCCTTGGTTTGGTGGAGTCATTTCCAGCTCTCCAGTGGCTTTGCAGGGGTGAATGTGGAGGAGTGTGGGCACAGTGACAAGGGAAATTATCTGATAACACTCCCTCGGAAGTGTTACAATAGCTTGTGGATTGCAGGCCTCCTGGTACCTTCCTGTCCCAACCACATTTGGGTATTTCACTTAATGTTCACCCAGCAAGAAGAGGAGAAAGTTCAGAGTAAACAAAGAACCTAAAGCAGAAGGGGACTGGGAGGTCACCGGAAGCTGGGTGAGTGGCAGCTCCCCGCTGTGAATACTCATAGGCAGGACAGTGTGGAGCAATGGAGCTGCACCCTGCCAGCCCAGGGTTTCCTGGAAGGGTTCTGATCACTCTAATAACCCTCCTCAGGGACTCTGAATTCTTCCCAAAAGCTGTGTGGACTTTGCAATATATGCAGGCTTCAGTGTAACTAGGATGAGAGCAGAGGCAGGCTCGCAGGCTCACCCTGTTTTCGCCAGACTTAGCTCTTGTCTCTAGTTCCTGCTGCAGTGGCTTGCAATGTGCTCTGATGCCTGGGAGGAAGGACATCCTATTCTGCTGAGTTCATTAATTAAGTAGTTATTCATGAATTTATTGTTGACGTAATTTGACAGTGGTGTGTGTATATGTGTATGTGCACTATATAGCAGTTTCCTCCATATAAAAAACATGATCTGCCTGGTTCTGTGGGGGGTTTTATTGGTCTTTTTGAGACAGGGTCTCCCTGTAGCCCCAGCTATCCTGGAACTCACTATGTAGACCAGGCTGGCCTTGAGCTCACAGAGATCCGCCTGCCTCTGCCTCCCGAGTGCTGGGATTAAAGGGATCTGCCTGGTTTAAAAAAAAACTCAGATATTGAAAGTTTATACAAAGTTAAAGGCATGACAAATAACATAGAAATATTTCATATTTTTACCTATGAAACTGTATCATTAAAATTGAGTATACATAACAAAAAACTATTTCAAAGGGAAAAGGTGGGCAGGGAAAATATTGAAAGAATTCTGTGCCAGAATGCTATCAATATCCATTTTTTCAAGAGGATTTTTTCATTTCTCTCTTTTCTTATTTATTTGCAGATTTTATTAATGAGAATACTGTTCTGAAAAGATCATGTTTACCATAAATTTAGCTAAAATATTGGACAAATTAGGAGAAAAAGAAATGGGAAATGTGAAAAGCATACATCTATCCTTCAAGTCTCAAACTCAGATGATTGGAGCCAGCTCTGTTTCTCATAGGATGCTTCAGTACCAACAGTAATGCAGATATAAGTAGTCTTAATGAATCTACATATTGCTTTCTTTTAAGAATGCTATAACCTCCAGTTCATGGCATCTCTCTAGGTGTTTCCACTTTATCATAAATATGTTTCTCCATTGTACAGATCTTGGAGAATGCTTACTAGAGCATGTGAATTCTGTCCCTCCCATTCCACCAAAACATGGAACGATCCCAAAGAAGAAAGTGCCAGATCAGCCTTGGAACAAACACCCAAACTAGTTTCTCTCTTTCCTTCTTTCCGGACGCAATGCTCAGTTGATGAGTACCATTCAGGACAGGAGCCTGCACTGCCTGGTGTGGATCCTGATAAGGAGAGTGCAAGGGTCACTGCATTGCTAAGGTTCACTGCCACATATCCTGGCACCAGTGCTATCTGCTTAGCTCCTGATGACATTTGCATTCGGAGCTCTTGGGGTATAGGATGAAAGGGTGAGTGACAGCATTCAATTATTTTCCAGCCAGTTTCCAGGTAGGCCCTACACAGTTACCATCCTGAATGCAGAGTCTTTAAGAATACTGCCTCTGCCCGGTGTGGTGGCACTCACCCTAAATTTCAGTACTCTGGAGGCAGAGGCAGGGGGAGCTCTGTGAGATCAAGGGCAGCCTGGTCTACATAGTAAGTTCCAGCTGGGATTACAAGGCAGGGAGACCCTGTCTCAAAAATACCACAAAAAAGGGAGGGGCTAGAGAGATGGCTCAGCGGTTAAAAACAGACTATTCTTGCAGAGGACTTGGGTTTGAATCCCAGCACCCACAAAAAAAAAAAAAAAATACTGCCTCCAATTTATTTCCAAGAGATTGTGGGGAATGCATTCTTACCTTGGCATTCCGGAGGAACTCCACTCCAGTGTCCAGTAGCCAAACACCTTATTGAACTTGCTCCTACTAGGAGTGAGCCTTCGTCACAGGAAAAGCTGCAGACTGACTGGTACTTAAAGGTACCAAAAGAGTCTGAGCAGGTCATCTGGGCTTTACTTGGAACTGGAAAATCCTGGCACTGCAAAGCTAAGGGGTGGGGAAATCATGGAGTAAGGGAACAGTAATACACAATGCTATTGACTTTGACCCATTAACCTTTCCTAGTACAATACAGAGACTCCAGAATTGGGCTTGCCTAACTTAGAAGATGAAAAAATTGTCATTTAGCTTCAGTGGTGGCAGGAAAGTTTTTAATGAAGAAAAATGCTGAACCAGTGTTGAACATTCGGATAATATGTATCAGATTAAGCTCTCATACTTCTGGACCCAAGAATCTCTGCAAAGTATGAAAACAAGATGCATACCAAAAATCAGTTCAGCAAGACATGATTTGTAAGTGCAAGATATTGAACACAAGTATAAATGGGGCTGAAAGTAAATTGTTCTTTCATGAAAAGAATATTAATGATTCTTAAAATTGTATACTTTACTTGTGAGTTCAAAGCCAGCCTGGTCTACATAGTGAATTCCAGGACAGCTGGGGCTACAAGGAGACCCTGTCTCAAAAAGACCCCCCCCCAAAAAAAGATATGGGAGGTGTCTCTATTAATGTCAAGTATAAAAGCAGAATAAAAAATATGATTATAATAAAACCAAACTATGGTCTTTTTCAAAGCATTTTAATTAGCATACAAAATAATGGGTTTCATTCTCTCTCTCTCTCTCTCTCTCTCTCTCTCTCTCACACACACACACACACACACACATACACAATTCTACCCTGCTTGCGTTCATCCCCCATTACTATCTCTTGCTCTATACTATGACCTTAAATACATAAAATAGTCCTATGTGGAGACAGCATATGTATTCTATAATTTTTTTCATCTTTAAAATGAAAATAATTAGACCATGTGAGATCGTAGGGAGTGCTTATTAAGTACTAGCCACCAGCAGTGGAGGAGGAGGGGGGGGGAGGAGGCAGGCATAAATGCCATCCTCAGGATTATGTAGAAGTTGTCAACCTTGACTGTGGGGGGAAAACACTAGAAAGGCCTATCAAGGGAGTAATTGAGACTACAATTTCAGATACTCAAGAGAATATCCAACTGGCTTTCTGGATGAATTGACGTTTACTTTTCTGGAGACAAAAATTGCTGAAGTGATCCCTTGTGATTATTTTTAAGAATGTCAAAGGGCTTGGTGTGTCTGTCCCCCAGACAATTCATATCCAACATATCTTATCACCCCCACTAAGTTTTACCACCAAACAGTATGAGCCTTGAGTCCTCTGTCATGCTTGCTTCTATTTTCAATATTGTTATTGTGGGAAATACATCCAGCATAAAATTTTCCATTTACTACTTAGCCAGTGTTACATGTATAGTTCCATGTTGTTATTTGCATCCATGTTGGTATATAGTCTTCACCACCATCCATCTCCTGCTCTCTTTACATTGCTCATGCTGAACTTTACTTAATTAACAGTAATTCCTCTTTCCCTTGCCCCTGAATTCTACTTTCTGTCTCCATGATTTTATTACTCTAAATAACTTATATAAATAAAATAATGTATCACTTGGTTTTTGGAGACTAATTCATTTCACTTAGCGTAATGTCCTTAAGGTTCATCTGTATTGCAGAATGTGTTGGAATGCCTTTTCTTGACAAGACTGAAAAACATTTCAGACTTTATATATTGAGTCAGTGATTTCTCTTTATTCCACACTTTAACTGTTATTATGAATGATGCCATGATGAGCCTGAGTATGCACATATCTCTCCAAGACTCACTTGCAAATCACTGGAAAATCAATACCCCATTTTATTTTTTTAATACCCCATTTTAAAATCAGCATATACATGGACCTAGGGATTCCACATACATTGCTTATGTCAATGGTGACATATGACAGTGTCATTGCACTTGTGCAACATGTCTTTGTGTGGGCACCATTTGTAACAAGGCAATCCTAGTGACCTCCTTGTGCCTGAGTTTTCATGTTAGAGCAAAACACTAAAAACATGAAATACTGTAAGGCGATCACTTTGTCAAATCAGACAACAGATTTAGGATTTATAAACTATTGTTAGTCTCATGATTTTCCCTATATTTATTGAGGTTGACAGCAGCTTTGAAGTTGCTTTAAAATATTAACTCATAGCTATTGGTGACATGAGTAAGTAAAGCTGATAGTTTCTCATTTTTTATTGAATTTTTGTAAGTTTCATACAATATATTTGATCATATAGAACCCCCTCTCCTATCTGCACCTCTCCTATTGCCCCCCACCAGATTTCATGCACTCTGACATATATATTAAAGGCCTACTGAGTCAAGTTTGTGTCTCCAAATGCCCTTCGGTGTGCATCCATCCACTGGAAGTCACCCACACTCAGAAAGTTCAAAAGCTTTCTGACAGACAATGACAGACCTAGACGAACTGCCTTGTCCATGACTCTTCTACTGTCTCATGTTCATCATATATCAGTCCATTCCTCAGCTCTGATCTCCTCAGTCCACTCCAAACATGTAAATCAAAGCAACTCTCACATTGGCTACACTGTAATGAACACTATGCATAAAACTTGCTTTGGCTACCATTTCATCCCTAGCACCAAACACAAAGAGAAGAACCAGGCATATCTCAGGCTCTCATTGAATGTTTGGTAGATAAGTTTATGGCAGTGTCCCATGGTGCCTGAGAGGCAAAGAAGAATATTTCAGTGTCACAGTACCTTGACAGACTGGGGCTGGTGCTGTCCACTGTCCCAAGTCAGCACACTGAATGACATCAGTTCCCTTCAGCATGAAGCCCTCTGCACAATGGAAGGTGCAGTTGGTGTTGTACCCAAATGCTATTGAGGACGAGGAGCAATCCATGCTTCCATGGATGGGGCTCTCCAGTGGTTTACATGCAATGGCTAAAGGGTAAAGTTTGTTAAAAAGCTTGGTCTTCTTCAGAAGTGACTGAAGAATGATACTACTTTCTTGCCCACATTGTTATGTTCAGAACTTCAAACACTTCTTTTTCCAGAAAGAATACTACCTTTCCCACGCCCCTCTTTACCTCACCTGTCTTCACTCACCTATGCTTATTCTCACCTGTCTTCAGATCTCTGCTTTCCCTCCCTGCCTGCTTAACCCAGGGGTAAGGACTCCTTGTGTGGGCTCTCACAGACCCTGAACGATGATGTTCTTGCATGATTTCAATCCTTCCCTGTTACACCACAGTCTCCTTGATGCTGAGGTCACTCATTTAGTGAAGTGTTTGGTAGACTCAAGATGCTCTTAAATACTATTGGCATATTTATTGGATCTTTAAAGAGTAGATAAAGAAAAACAGGGCTGATGAAATAGTGTAGTTTATTATTTATACTTTGACCTAGCACTGTAAAATGACCCCAAGAACATAGGATGTCATCTTAATCAGACTTGATTGCCAAATGAATGTACCCCAAAGTGAGTTCTTGAACACAGTTATACCCTGAATGGACCCTGTTCTGATAAAGACGGGTTTCCTTCCACACTCCTGCAAAGGCATCTCATCTCCAGACTTCTCCTGGGGTTTCATAGAGCATAGAGACCCCCTTTACAGCCTGGGCTCTGACTTCTAGTTTTTACAGATTTAGGGCGTGCAAGGACTAAAGATCCTCTAGTGATTTTTACTGTATAGATGAGAAAAATGAGGGTCAGAAATGTTAAGCAACTTTCTTAAAAGTCTCAGTATGTGTTGTGGTGTATGAATGTGTGTGTGTGTGTGTGTGTGTGTGTGTGTGTGTGTGTATACCCATGCCTGCCTGCAAGTGCAGAGGTCAGAGGTTGATGTCAGGTATCTTACTCCATCCATCTCTACCTTATTTCTGAGACAAGGTCTCTCACTGAACCTGGAGCTCACTGTTTTGGCTAGACTGGTTAGCCAGTGAGCTCAGGGGATTTTTCTGTCTTTATACCCCTCTTCCCACTAAATGCTGAGGTTACAGGAACATGCGCTTTCCCCGCTGAGCCATTGCCTCTAGCCCTCTTCTAAAGTCTCAATGCTAACAGTACTTCAGTTGGGCTTGCAATTTAGGTGTAAAAATTCACTAATATGGCCTTCAATCTCCTATTCTCTCTTTTCCATCTCTACCCTATAAGCTGAAGGTGCAAATGCATAGTCCACTCTCCTGGTATTATGTAACTGCCTGGGGTTGCATCATATGCTGTTCTTTTAAAAACTTTTATTTTTATGCATATGAGTGTTTTGTCTGCATGTGTGTAAGTGCATCATGTGCATGCAATGCCCACGGAGGCCAGAAGAGGTTGTCAGATCCCCTGGAACTGGAGTTACAGGTGGTTGTTAAGCACCATGTGAGTGCTGGAAACAGAATATGTGCCCTTTGCAAGAGCAGCCAGTGCTCTTACCTGCTGAGCCATCTCTCTAGCTTTGCATGCTGTTCTTTAATGCAGGATTTTTACTCCTTTGCAAAGCCTACCTCCAAAGACTCCGATGGTAGATCTATCTTTACCACTATAGCTACAGCTCCAACTCCTTCTCAGGTATAGGACATTGCCCTGCAGAGTACTTATGTCAGTGGGACAGGAATGGGTATGATGGGAGACAGGCAGAAACTGAACTTAAGCAAATGTCTAAGTCTATCTATCCTCTGTACTTTATACATGACATTTCTTTTTCTATGTTGTAGCTTTAATATTTTTGAGACAGTGTGTAATTATATATCCCAAGCTGGGTTCCCACTTACTGTGTAGTCCAGATTGGCCTTGAATTTGCAGCAATCCTACTCTCTTAGGCCCCCAAGCGCTGAGATTACAGTTATGCACTACCACTTCCTGCTTACACTTGCTATTTATATATATAATCCTCACAGAAGCACCTGGTAATTCCTAGCCCCATTTCACAGATGAGAAATCACCTGGCTCCCAGAGGTTGCAAAAATAAGAACCTAGAGGAGGCTGCTTTGATATTAAGAACTCTTGATCTTTCTCTTGTGGCATGATTCCTTCTTGGGATTATTGAGAGCTGATAAAATTAATCCTACCTTCACAGGTTGGCAGTGGTGCAGTCCACTGGCCAGAGCCAATGCACTGGAGTGTGTCGGATCCCCTTGCTTGATATCCAGTTTGGCACTCAAATTTACAGCTAGAGCCATATGCAAAGGCAGCAAGTGGGTGCACACAGTCCACGGTTCCATTGATGGGGGCTTCCAGGTGCTGGCACTGAACAGCTGAACAGAAAAACCAAGGATAAAGAAAGGGAAAATCAACCAGGATGGAAGGAAGCCACACACAGGGACAGAAAGCTGGAAAGCTGTGGATCTGCCTCTGGAAACACAGATGGAGTTCGGAAGATGGAAGGGTCAGGATGCCCTGACTGTCTAGATGTGAAGTACTGCTCCTGGGTGACACAAGTCTCTTAAAAACAGATTCTTCTAAGCTCTGTCCTTAACGTTCTCCATTCATTGTATGTTATAAGCCTGTCCCTGATGGTCATCTATCGTGTATATACAGATGCAGAGGCTACCCTTTGCCCCCTTATGTGAAATATATGAATAAGGCCGTTCTGAAACTGTTTGTAGGATATGAGCTTGTGGGAGAACAGACTCCAACTTTGTTCATAGCAAAATCAGCCCCTTGTTTTTCCACAGGCTGATACTGTTTTCTTATCCCAGATTTACCCAATGTAACTCAGTAGTTGATGGAAGGAGAGTTAAATTTTGACAGTTCAGGACAGCTTCCTCACATGATGACTAGTTTTATCTCCACTCCTGAAAAGACTGGGTGCAGTGGACATGATACACCCCAAGGCCCTGAAACTTCCCTTTATTCCCTGGGGCTGGAGCTGACCCCACCCCTGAGGTTAAGCATTGTTCCACCTCTACACAAGATGATTTTCACAGTGAAGCCCCAGCTAGACTGGTGCTAGAATGCTCTTGCAGGGTGGAGCCTAGTCAGGCTTCCTCCTTCAGGACTGCTCAGGGTTATACACCAGGAGGCCAAGAACAAGCACAGAGTAACGATGTGAGTCCTTGGACAAGTTGTGTCCAGCACTTTGGGAGCTTTAGGATTCTGTGGCAGCTCTGTTTTCCCTATGGCAGTCAAGGTAATTTTTTTGTTAGTTAAATACTCAAGTAGCTGTTTGGAATGATCTACATGTCCATGTTTTTATGTAAGAAGCAAGGGTGATGCTATAAAATTACTTATGTTCAATCCCTAAGTTGTCACCACTGTTTTCTGTTGACTTTATAATTAACAAAGAGAAGGACATCCCTTTGCAATGTGTTTTGCCTAAGAATCAAAAATTAAACCATCAAACTCACGCTGTAAGGAGGAAATAAAGCATGAAAATGAAAATCATGGTTAGTCTGATAGATACATAATGAGAACTACAATTTCCATCTAATATAGATTCTATTTCTCAAGTTTTTAGTAGAAAGCCCATCCCCATGATCATCTCCCCAATTGTAATTATTTAATAAGAATGGAAAAAATTAGGTCTACATACCTACACACTCTGGAGGCTTATTTGTCCAGACTCCAGAAGCCAAACATTCCAGTTTTCTGGGTCCGTTCATTTTGTACCCTTCAGCACAGTGGAAGGTACACTGTGAGTTGAAAGAGAAGTCTCCCAGAGGGTGACTGCAGTTCATGAGCACATGTTGAGGGAGGTCAAATTCTCCACATTCTCTGACTGCGGGGGACAGAAATGTTGATTTTTCTCATTGTAGACTTAAAATCTCTTTCCAATGGTAACAAGGCATAACCCTCTTCATTCTATCTTTCTAGACCCCTAAACCAAGGTCCCCACCCCCATCTAGATCTGGTTCCTTCATATTGTCATTATCCTAAAAAATAACCATCTGGGGCTGGAGAGACGGCTCAGCAGTTAAGAGCACTGACTGTTGTTGCAGAAGACCTTGGTTCGAATCCCAGCACCTACATGGTGACTAACAACTGTCCATAACTCCAGTTCCAGGGGATCCAACACCCTCTTCTGTCCTCCGTGGGCACCACACAACAGAGGTGCACTTGAATACATGCAGGCACAACACTCATACACATAAAAGTAAATAAATAAATAAATAAATTTTAAAGATAATCATCTTTTTGCTGTTTTTTTTTCTTTGCCAGTTCAATTCTTTCATTAGTTTTTACTTCAAAGGTAAAATTAACTTAAAGGTTTTTATCTTGCTGCTGTTGTCATATTTCTCTTTTCCTTCTTGAAGTTTCATGACTGAATATAGTCTCTGAAAGGGAAGTGATTTCAACTCGTGTCTAAAGACAGTTGAGTGAAGCAGGCAGACAGAGGGCAGAAGGGTTCTGCCTTTCGTACTACTTGCTAAAGTTCCCACATGATTTACTTCCTGGCATCACCTCACATGAGACCAATGGACGAAGAATGCTGATAAAGTCACAGCCTCACCGTGTTCACACTCTGGCCCATAGAACCCGGGGTAGCAGGAGCAGGTGTAGTTCCCGATAGTCTCGATGCACTCCCCTTGCTTGCTGCAGGACATGTCCTGGCAGGAGGCTGCATGGTTATAAGAAGGGTCAGAATCATGGGTAGTCACAGGGCACAGGGCCCAGCCTCTGCCCTTCTAGGGCAGGACTGAGCTCACCAGACAGAAAGAGCCATAGTGCCATCTGGAGAGCCAGCCTGTTCCCTGTGAAAAGCACTACCCAAAGTAAGGACAACAGAAGAACCCAGCTGATAAAGTTGTCACAAGAACTTGTTGTTAAGCCAAAATACTACACACAAAATATTACAAATGACACTGGAAACTAATGTTATTCAACAATAAGAGAACTCGGTCACAGCAATGTCTCAGTACAGGAATGAAATTTCTCTCAATCTGTATGCTTTTACATTGACACAAAGTGACAAAGAAAAGCTTTAGGCCTAAAATTTTAGGAGACTGGTGTCTAGTCCCAACTTTGATATACGAGTACCGCAAGGCTCTCATTCGATGTCATATTTAGCATCACTGCTGTGTGTAAACACAGAGTGGCGCCATCAAGAGATGTGTGCACAGAGGAGCTCCTCCATATGGTCCAGAATGTGTTACAGTCTTCCAACCCAAAGCTTCCATGTCTCTTTGCCAAATGTTATAGTAAGAAGGTTGGGAACCAGATTTGGTGGGGGGTTTTCTTGGTGGGGTATCATGTAATATAAAGCCAGGCTCTACTGCCCACTTTCTTTGCAACTTTAGGCCCAGTTTGTCAAATGTTAGGGCCAATCTTTTCTACCTTCTGTTTACTTCAAATCCATACCCACTACCATACAACAGAGTATCAGAGAAGATGAAATTGAGATGTAGCCATGGTAAGTGTTCTAGCTTGTTTCTCCATTGCTGTGACAAAACACTCTGACCACTACCAAGTTGGGGAGGAAAGGGTTTATTTGTCTTACATCTCCCAGATCACAGTTCATCAGGGAGTCCAAGCTAGGAACTCAGGGCAAGAACCTGGAGGCAGGAGCTAGAGCACAGGCCATGGGGGAACACTGCTTACTGGCTTGCTCCCCGGCCGCTGCTCAGCCTACTTTCTTATACAATGCAGGACCACCTGCCCGGGGGTGGCACCACCCACAGTGGACTGGGCCCTCCCACATCACTCAACAATCAAGATGCCCCACAGACATGGCCACAGCCCACTCCTATGGAGGCAATTCCCCAATTGAGGCTCCCTTAACCCAGGTGTGTCAAGTTGACACTAAAGCTATCCAACACAGTAAGGAACATTCTTATGAGGAGATGTTTCATGAGGCTAAATATGTCATGTTTAGATGGTGCTGAGCTAGGGCTGACCTGACAGATCCCTCTGACAATGCCTGTGCCATTGGGTGACAGAACAGAGAAGGACCCAGAGTTTCCTTCCTGCAAGAGAATCTTTCAGGATTTAGGCATTTGGTGGTGGTTTAATATTAGAACTGATATTACGGCTATGTGAAGAACAGTTTTATTGGTGTTTTTATTTATAAGGTTATAACTAGGGGTATGTTATGTGACTGGATGGATTTCTGGTGTTTTTTTTCTCAGCGTAAAGCCTTAGTCACATGGTGATATACTTCATGGTATAATTTTCGCATGTCACGTAGAGAATTTTGCTGTTAGTAATAATCTCTATATCCCTCTCAACTCTGTGCTAGTATAATTTGATAAATTAGGCAAGATGCCATAGAAAAATGTTTCCATGGCAGCCAGTGAGTTTGGTGAGGATTTATAGAGTTCTTGGCAAGAACGCCTTCTAATATAGAGAAGATGCAGGGGGCAATCGCAGCTAGTGGGTGGAGGTTTGCTCCACGTCTTCCATCCTGTCTACCTTGCCCCACTGACCTTGGCCCCACCAGTGCCTTACAATGCAAATCCTGCTTGTCAACCTCAGAACATACACATTTTCTTTTGTTTTAGGTTCCTTGGGATCTCAGTACTCTAGGAACAAGAAAATAATCAATTTTCCTTATCTGTCACGTTCCAAGCTTTCCAGGCAGTTTAATAACATGCCTATTTCGGATTCCCTCAGAGGAGACTAATGGAGATTCAATGAATAAATCTTTTCATGATAGTGTGTGCTGAGATCTGACAAATCTTGACATTCTGAGATTCTGATTCTATTTATTTTGACAATCAAACTTAATTTATTGTTGTAACCTATCTGCTTGTCATCCCTCTCCCACAGGGAATGAATAGGTTCCTCCATGCTTTACATCCTAGAGTGCTAAATTCCAGTCAATGGCAGTACTGCCTATGTATGTTGTTAGGGACAGAGTCCATTTGTGTTTAGGCCAATTAGTAGCTGGACTTGTGCCAATTAGTGATGTTGGCCCTTGTTGTCAGTTACAGAAAAAGCATTGCTTGTGTCATTAGCTTTCAATATATTTTCTATCTTGTAATTGTTTTTGCAAGCTTCATAATCTCAAGAAATGAAAATTTTCTGAGCATCCATGTCATCAGCTTTAAGATAGGAAGGGGCAATTGGGTGGTATTAAAAATTCTCTCTAGTTTCAAACAGCCAGTTTTCTGTAGTCTTGATTCTTCAAGTTGCTCAGTAATGCTGACTAATTCCTTGTTTTCCTGTCCTTGACTGTGATCCCATGTTACTCAGTGACCACACTGACTAACCAGGAAAGGCATGTTTTTAAACAGATAATTTAAGAGTAAAGGAGCCTTACCTGTGTAGCACAGGGCCCGCTTTCTTTTCCCGCAAGGCTCATCATTCCACTTTCCAGGGGCCAACTCCCTCTTGATGTAGATCTCCACACAGTCTTGATTGTTCCTCTTGTTGTTGGGCTCATGGTCAGCCCAGTTCTCGGCCTCCTCTGTGAGAATCTTCTTGGTTCCCACCCAGGTCCACTTATTATTGATCTTTCGGATCCCAATCCAGTAGTAAGAGCTGAAGTATGGTATGACATCATTGAGGTACTCAATCTCATTCTTATTCTGGATGGCCACTAAGTCTGTGAAGTGCTTCTGACAGAATGCCCGTGAGTTATTCCAGGAGTATGCTTTGATGCTGTAATTATAGGTCCAGGCTGCCACTTCTTTCTGGTTTGTAAGCTCTGGAGGGAAAATGAATACCAGATTAGCATCCCTAACCACAAGGAGGCTGTGATTCTAAGTGTATGACTGTGTATAAGATGCATTGATGAACATAAATGCAAAGAACAAGGCTATTTTCTGCCTGATATAGTCATTTTAGGGAAAAAGTCATTTCATTTAAAAATACATATGAAGTCAGAATAGGAAAATGCCCTCTTCTAAAGATTCTGGACATTAAAGATTTGGAATCCTGAGATCCTAGAGATGGAAGGGAGATTAGGGGTCATCCAGTCTAGCCCTCTCGTTTTATAAATAAAAGAAACATTTAAGCAGTTTGTCCAAGCTCTATGAAATGACACATGAAACGTGCAATGAGGATACTGCCATGTTCCATGGAAAATGAGATGCCGTGTGATCCGGAGCCTTCTGCCTGCCACTCAGTCTCAATGCCCACTATGCTTACTTTCTTAGCTTTACAGAACCCCCACTTCCCTGACATTTCGTTAGTTTTGTTTTGAGTTTCTTGCCTCCAACTTTGCCTCAGCCTCCCAATGGCAAGAATTACAAGCAGCCACCACCATCCTGATTCTTTCCTTCCTTTGCATGTAGTCTTCCTGACATGCTGGCTTCTCCTCAACCCCATGCACCCCACTTCATCCCCATGGTAAACATTTCTTCTACTTTCCTTGACTGCCTCAGGTAGATTTGGTGTTTCTTCCTCCAGGTTCCCACTGTGCCTCACGCCCGTGTCCCCTTCCCTTATTGCCCTGTGCTGTGGTATCAGTTTCTATGATGTGGCCCATATTTGTTATTGTGAATTCGTGATTGATGGTGGTCCCTTCTTAGTTCTGGGTTCTTAGTTTGAACCCTTAATAGGCTTTCAATGGATACCTGTTGAATTAGTGAAATGCTGTAAGACTTTGGCAGAGTCAGGGTTAGAAATAGCCAGCCTCTACTTTTCTTGGCTGCTTCTCTCTGATAAATTACTCTCCTTCCTCCACATCTGCTTACTCACTGGTTAAAAAGGCATTTATAAATCCTTGGGAAACCAAATGAAGCAAAGAATGTGCCATTTGAAAGTATAAAGGCTGCAAAATGCAGAGTGTTGTTATTGGAGCCAGTGGGAGTGTATGGGGCAGAAGAGGCCAGATCCCAGTGAAGAGGTGGACATGCCAGCAATCAGGCCTGGAAATGGCTCCTTTCCTGTTTACAAAGCTCTGTTTCTATTTGACCCTTTTCTCCTCTGCCCCTGTGAGGATCTCTCATATTTCCCCCTTTCCACTAACACCTCAGGACATTGTTTTGTCTTAAGGCTTCACTCTGCAGGAGGCTTGATAGCACACATTCTTAATCCCTGTACGTGGGAGTCTGAGGCAGAAGGATCAGACTCAAAAAAGCTTTATTTCCATATAGCCAGGACTCCAGTCTTAATTTCATGGACTCAAGGCAAAGCAATGATGAACATATTAATATTAGTTAATATTGTACATTAAATAATTTTCTATGAGTTCAGAGAAAATTACTTTTAAAGAAACTCAAACATTTTTGTGGGTCCCTGAACATATTGTGGGCCTGTGTCTGTCTTGTCGAAAGGTTACATTGATTTTACAAATATCAGTTTGTTGTTTCTGAAGTCGTATCTAACAATACGATGGTATCGGGTGGGTTTTTCTTCCAGGAATCTGGGCGTGAACAGTTTTCCCATGCCTCACAGCTGGCTACCATCCCATACCACCACTCCCATCTGGACCTGGGATCTTTCCTAGCTACTTAGGGTCAGGTGAAGAGTTTGCCTAAAGTTTACCAGAGATCAAGGCACTGAACCAGAGAAGTTGAGTAGCTCCGAGGACCACACTCCAAAGTCTTGGCTTCCAGGTGGCTTTTAGACAGCTAGCCTAAAACAAAACAGATAACTTCCTTTTAGCATCTGCAAATAACCAACATGAAATTGAAGTTAATAGAAATTCAGTTAATCATTGGGATAGTTCTTATTTCCAATAGGAGGGTGCTGCAAGACCTCTGCTTCCTTCTCACCACTGTGCTTGGAGTGTGGTCCTCTGAGCTACTCAACTCCCCTGGTTCGGTGCCTTGATCTCCAGCAGTAATTTTCATGTAATCCAGGCTACCCTCAAACTTGGCTATGTATCCAAGAATGACCTTGAACTCTTCATTCTCTGGATTACAGGAGTATTTCCAGATAGAGCCTCAAATTCTGACCATATTATAGACCCCAAATTCAAATCCACAGGTTAGCAGTTAAGGTAATCCCTTGACTTAATTGTAGTTAACAGGGTGGGTTTTATGTGTGGGTATGGTGGGTGGTAATGTTTGAAAACCCTCCTTGAGTAATAATTTTCCTCTGAAATGTTCTTTGGGTGGTAGTAGACTTCTTGTACCTGATCCTGCTCCATAGTACAGGTTTGGGAACCAAGTTGGGTCTAGGATGTTGAAGAGTTAAGGACCCTGTACTGTGTGCCCAATCAAGTTAAGTGTTGAAGCAAGAAGAAATGCCTCTCCAGGAGAAGCAGCCATGTGCTCTGATAATCTTTAATGTTGCCTGGCAACCTACTTCAAACTGGAAATGGCTGGAAAGGAGTCTAAGACCGGATCATTAGAATAACATCCTGTGACTTTATAAGCCTTGCTTAAGCACCCTGGTTAAAGTACTTTAGGGTGAAAGAGGGGACAGAGATAAAGTAGAAGGAACATGTTCGTTCCTCAGGCTCCCTTATTCATAGGAAGAAGTACCAGCATGCAGTAGGAGTCCCACAGCTTTAGTTGGTGTACAATGCTGCCAAGTATTGTACCACAGAGAGGGGCACTGTTCTGTTCACACTGCAGACCAGAGAGCTTTGCACTTCAAAGCAGAGGTGATGTCCCTCCTTTGACCTTTGTCTGCCCTCCACATCCTGTTGGCTTTCACTGCGTGCCTATAGCCGAGTCCTTAACTGCCTTACCTCTTCTTTGTCTTCCAGCCCATAGCCCCACCATGCTCCCAAACTGCTCTTTTGAACTTTATCACTAACTTCCAAATAACCAAACCGAATAAAAACTTCCCACCCTTATCTTCCTTGACCTCTGTATGGTAATATATGCTGTGGAGGCGGGCATGGTGGTGCATGCCTTTAATCCCAGCACATAGAGGCAGAAGCAGGTGGATCTCTGTGAATTCAAGGCCAGCCTGGTCTACATAGTGAGTTCCAAGGACAGCTGGGGCTACAGGGAGACCCTGTCTCAAAAAGATAAAAAACTCATATATATATATATATATATACACATGTATGCACTGTGGACTAATTCGTTTTTCTTAAGATGTTGCCCTTGGCTCTTCTCTTGCTTTTTCTCTAATGCCTCGAGCAATTTTTCTGAGTGTTCCTTTGAATGACCTTCAACTCTCTGCTTTGACTTGCCTTCCTGACTTCATCGTTCTAGTCTCTGCTTTTCTCAAAGACTCCTTATGGTCATGCTTGCAAACATGACCCCAATCAGTATCTCCATTTCTGATCTCTCTCCAGAGCACAACACAAATATGGAGCAAACACAAGGAGTGTGAGGATGGAGGCAGCAGTGGCAGAGGCACCAGCTGCTGCATGACAAGTCTGAATCCCTGGCTATGGTAGAGCAAATGCTTAATGACTGATAACTCATATTAATAAATGGGTAAATGAATCCATGGAAGAATAATGGCAAGAAATAGCTGAATAGAAGATGGAAATGTGCTAAGTTGGAAAATGAGTGATAATCCTAACAAGTATGTATGTTTACAATATTGTATCTGAGTTAAAAATGTTATGGACCATGACAGATGATTCTTGCTGCAAAAAAAAAAAAATGAGAAAATGAGCAACTATGTGGGATGATGGATAGAAATATGTTTTATATAGAAACTATTTCACTGCATGTGCCCCACAGCCTCATGTTGTGTACTTTAAATACCTACAATAAAATCACTTTTAAAATATGAAATATGGATTTCTGTTTCTATATGGATGAATAGATAATGAAATTTGAAATAGAAGAATCAAATAAACTGAATGAACATACATAAATGAAGTGTGTTAAACAGGAAAATATTAGGGAATGTGTGTGTGTGTTTATGTGTATTCTTGACATTGTTTCTCATTCTATTGTATGAAAGAGCAAGGGAATGGGATCTCTTTTACACTTCCCTTGTGAGACATCAAATGAGCAGAAGTGACTCCTAACTTGGGCAGATTCGACATAGGGAGAAAGTGGAGAAGTGGGAATTGGAGAGCTCTTTCTTAAGTGCTGTGCCTTAGGAATTCTAGAGTACACTAAATATCAGCAACTCTCAAAAGAAAAAAGCAGACTTCAATGCAATGCTCTGGCATGGGTGTGACTCTCTGAAAGGTTCTAGTACCAAAGGGGGCGTTCATACAACAGATGTATATTCAGACAGTGACACTGATGCAAGCTCCCTCACCTGCATGCCCATGGAGACCTTCAAGTCTTTCATCAAGTAGGAGTAGGGAGGGAGGGCCAAGAATCTTTCCCTTATGTGATCCCTTCACATCAACTTGTCATCAAATCCCAATGACTTTACCTTATGGTGAAAGACCTGGCCACTCTCCAGAATTCCACTTGAATTGCCAAGGCACTAGCCTAGATGTCATTGTTTCTTTCCTGCTCCTGGGAAACCAACATCTAATTAACTTCTTTTCCCCCAAGATTACTCACTGCTAATTATTTCCTAAAATGCAGTCAAAATGATTTTTGTCTTCTTTGTCATGCTAGGGATCAAATACAGGACCTTGCAAATACTAGGCAAATGTTCTGCACTGAGCTACATCCCCAGTCCAGAAAGATATTTCTAAGATAAACAATATGATCATCTTTCTTTAGTATTTAAGACTTTCAATTTGTTCCCGCTTTCTAAGTAATCCATTCAAACTCTTCGAGATACATATGTAAGACCCTTCAAGACATGGCTCCTTCCTATTTGACTATTCTTTTCTGCCATTACTTCTCAATAAGCCACATCCTCCTTATAACTATCAATGTATTTGTAATAAAATCATGCTATAATTCCAGAATGTATGATATATTCCTTTGTTCTTATGCTGAGAATACCTACTCCATCTGAGTCAGCCCAGCTACGTAAGTCCATAATTTCTTCCTCAAAGCTCTGCTATCAAGAGCACTTCCTTCTCCACACCAAACAAGTACTATCTTATTATTCTTTCTTTGTCCCCACTAGTTGTTCCAACAATGTTTAAGTTCTTAGCATACTTCAGACACATTTCTAGGGACAGGGGTTAAAATGATGAAAATAGATAAGAGCATGCATTCAGACATGAACTAAAACCAATTAAACAAGATACTGTAAACTTAGTCGAATACCTAGGGCTAGAGAGGTTATAGACCCCAGCAGAGAGCCTCCTTCTGTCATTTCCCTAAATCAATACAATCCCTAACTGTATTCTAAAAACTTATTTTTAAGCCCACAGACGAGTCTGCCTCTCACCCCTCATCAAAGAAACTTCTTTTTGCAAGTGATAGAGACTATTACAGAGATCCTCAACTGGTCAAAATGCAGAGAACAAGTAACAGTGGAACAAATAACAGAGACCAAATAACAGCATATCCCCAACTGATATGCCTTGTCCTAGTTTGTTTCTTCAGTGCTGTGACAAAACACTCTGACCACTACCAACTTGGGGAGGAAAGGGTTCATTTAGCTTACATCTCCTGGGTCACCGTTCATCCCGGAGCCCAAGGTAGGAACACGGGGCAGGAAACTGGAGGCAGGAGCTGGAGCATGGGCCATGGAGGCTGCTGCTTACTGGCTTACTCTCCTGGCCCCTGCTCAGCCTGCTTTCTTATGCAACACAGGCCCACCTGCCCGGGGGTGGCACCACCCACAGTAGGCTGGGCCCTCCCACATCACACAACAATCAAGAAGATGCCTCACAGACATGGCCACAGGCCAATTCAATGGAGGCAGTTCCCCAATTGAGGCTCCCTCAACCCAGGTGTGTCAAGTTGACACTAAAGCTATCTAGCACATGCCTGAAATGCAATTACTACACCTAAAACCGAGAGGGCATCTCAGAAGAGGGGGCAGAAAGATTGTAAGAGTCAGAGGACCAGGACACCTACTGTTAGATCATGTCTTCCAAAAAAGACAGGGAAGCTGCACCCATGAAATCCCCATGATATAGTCGCCTAAACAAGACCTATGTAATGACAACACCAACTGACATGTCAACGTGGATGGGAGAAGTTTCACATGGTGCTACCTCTAGATGAAGACCTACAGACAATCAGTGGCTGCTGTGAGAGGGAAAAGCATGAGCTCCTAATAGGTTATCAAATGCCAAGTGGCCAGCTATGAACACACATACACACTAATGCACTAAATGACCTCAATAGGCTGTTTACACACACACACACACACACACACACACACACACACACTAATTAAAGAAGGGACACGATATGGAAAGGGAGTAGGGAGAATGTGGGAAGATTTGGAGGGGAAGAGGGAGGGATGGAAATGATGTAAATATAGTCCTCATCTATGAAATTCTCAAAACATTAAAAATTAAATTAAAAAAGCAATTAGCATGAAAATAGAAGATATCAGTGCTAGACTGAAATTAAAATAAGATCATGTGACAGAGTGAGTAGTGAGCTATGTCAGACAGGGATGTCAAGGCAGAGCTCTGCAAGGAGGTAATGTTAAATCTAATAGCAAATAGAAAAAATATAGCATGTGAAAAACAGGTGGACAAACATTAAAGGCAAATGAAAAACAAGTTCAAAAGTCTTAAGTGTGATGTGTTTCAACAACATAAAGACCTGAAAGTGGCTGGAATGGACTGGAGAGAAGACTATGACAGGAAACCAGCTGAAAGATCATGTCAGGCTCTCAGAGCCAGAGCCAAGGGATGAGAGTTTATTATCAGTGTAGAAAGAAGCCAGGGAAATCTTTAAAAGTATGATGCAGTCTGATAGATGTTGATAATTGGGACTCTAGAGGTTAATTGATCTGGTAGCTTGGGGATAGACCTTGTGGCTCTCTAATACCAATTAGCAGGTTTTTGAATAGAAAAGTCCCATGAAGAGATGTGTTTAGCAGTGCTTTGGATGTTTTTAATTAGAAACAAGAAGTCTGAGCTCTGAAAGGAGGAGGCCAGTGCCATGATCCTGATGGAAGTTAAAGAGGGCCTGTCTTTGGCTGCAGTTAAGGGGAACTGAAAGAGGAAGGAAAATAAAAGAGTCATTAAAAACAAAGAGCTATCCATCCTAGTTGTGGTTCAGATCTTATAAGCCATTACAATTGTTAAAATAGTCTCTTAAACTTCTAGACGGTGGTCGTGAAGTGGCACAGATATTAGCAGCCCCAGATCAAAGGTAGAAAATAAACACAGTGAGAAAAGAGGTTATCTCTAAATAAAACAGATCTCAAAATAAAGCTAAGGAGGGTCTTAGGACAATAATGGTGAGAATCAAAGTATACATTTAAATTAGATAGCTGTTATTAGTAAAATAAAACACACATTTAATTTTTTTAAAAGTCTGTCAGACCTGAGCTGAGTTATAGTCTTCAAAACCTAAAGGATTTATTCTGCATCTGACTTTGTAAAGTATCTGCTTTGCTTTCCCAGCAGAGGTGCTAGACACCTGGAATGCAATGTAATGATTATCCTGAAGCCAGTTTCTCCAGGGTCTTTTCTTAGTCCCACCTGCTATGTAAAAGGTCACTTGATTTTTGGGGGGGGGTACTGAAGAGATGGTTCAGAGGTTAAGAGCATTGGCTACTCTTCCAGAGGAACTGGGTTCAATTCCCAGCACCCACATGGTGGCTAATGACCACCTGTAACTCTAGTTCCAGGGTATCTGATGCCCTCTTCTGGCCTCCACCCACTTTGCATGATATTGGTGCACTCATACATGCAGGCAAAACACTCATACACATAAAAAAGTAAAAATTAGTTAATTAATAATAAAAAGTCATTTGATTTTTGATGATTTGATTAATAATATTCCATGTGCAGAACTCTAAATACAGATATTCTAAGAGCTGGTGGCCACCCTAAAAGACTACTTAGTTTAAAGTTTAAAAGTTTATAAAAGGGGAAGTAAAAACTGGATGCTAAAGGCCTGAGCAGTTAAAGGTGTATGTAGAAAGGGATCTCAACCTGCTCCTCAGAGCTA